ACTTTTTTGCATTAAATGAAAAAGAAAGAAAGATAAAAGGAGTAAATCCGAGGGGCAATTTTGTGCATTTATGCTGCATGTATGTCACCTGATCTGTTATAGCTCACCAAGCTTATTGGAATCAACAAAGTTGAGGGGTGTTACATGGAAAACCCCCAAAGTTCAAGAGGGACTAAGAGATTTACCCTTAATTATAGATTAAACGGACATTTGCAATAAAGAAAATAATTCCAACTTATGTGGTCTAGCCCAAATCAGGGTCCACATGAATTAAATTAGGTCCATTGTTGATTGCATCCTATATGGAGAAGGATATTGGACCCATTGGTAATTGGGTCAGGAACGGAGGGGTTGACGCTAATTATCCCTTAAATAAAAGAACACATCCTCTCGTGAAAAAGCACTGCACTAAAAGGTCCAAACATAGAGGACAAAGATTGTGCACCTGTTTTGGAGGCGCAGCGAGAGAAAATTTGAGTTGTAGGCTTGCTTGGTGATCAAAATTTCAGCAATTCAAGAGCCATCTTCTTCAGGACAGTGACCACGTCAAGGGTGGAGTGTTGGATTTTAAATGGATATTGGAGATTGGTGGTGAGACAATCTTTAGGGCTTGTCTGCCCTAAAGGTAACTCCCTAATTTTTTCCATTATCTTTTATGGCTTAATCCTCAAGATTAAGCATCGACATGAGGGCTATGATTTAATAGTGGAATATTCTCTCTGGATTGCCCCGTGGATGTAGGCACAACGTTAAACCACGTTAAATCTTGGTGTTTGCTTGTATGTACTATTTTCATTGGTGTTATTATTCTGCTTGGTTGTGCATATTTCCGCAGATTAGTTCCAGAAAATCCTAATAGTTGCAGCCTAAAAACAAACAGTGTCTGTTAGGCCTGTAGCATGTCCACTAGAAAGAACTGGGATTAAGATTAGGGAGAAAGGTATTACATAGCTAAACACCAAACACTGGAGAAAGTGATGTTGTTTCTGTTGGCGAACAGTCTTAATAGTAGCGGAAAAAGAGCGACATGAATAACAAAAATTTTAAGTCACTCTAATGCTAATTTCATAAGATTACGTTCCATTTCTATCCTTCGAAGTCGATTTTTCTGGGATGGTCTTCATCCACTCTAATTACAGATGTCATCATAGATGGTCGGGGCACCAAAAGCCATGAGATGGCTCGATGTGGCAATAACTTTGGCGCCACTTTGACCACAAGAATAAACATGATAGAATCTTGGACTCAAACTGGCTTACTTATTTGTTTACCATTTCATTTTACTGGACAAGGGGCTGAATCCATATAATTACATTCAACATAACCACTTGATCAGTGAGGTGCTTGAGAGAATCCAAGTCCGAAAAAACTCTATCTTGACTCACTGTCGAGTCTAAACCAAAACAAAATGCAAATAACACCGGAAAATCACTTTGCAGATCAAATAATTAGGTGAAAATCTAGCCAATGCTAATGTTAGAATCAGGTTACAAGTATAACACATGCAACAAGCAGCGATTAGATCATATGTTAATAGGGTCTTGAAGAACCAGATCCAAGTTCATGCTGAAGCCACTTAATCAAAGATCAGTAGAGACTTGCCACTGATGTCTACCCACCAGGAAGTACTAGGGTGGGATACAAAGTTATGGAATAAAACTTGTATAATAACACATGAAATAAAGCAGCAACCAGATCACATGCTAAAAGAGTCTCGAATCAACAGATGCAAGTTCATTACAAAAGCCACAGTCATGATCCATGAACTCACTCAGCGACTTGTCACTGTGGTTTGCCAATCAGACAGTATTAGGACTGACGAACTGCAAATTGGTTTTTGAACCACTTCAAACCATAAAAAAGTAGCACAGATAATCTTGTGTATATATACTTACTTATTTAACTGTCCGTCTTTCATTATATTGCTATAAGACTAACCTATTATTCTAGTTCTTTGCCAAACACCATCTAGTAATCACATAGATGCGAGATATTAATATCTTACACAATATGTAATTTTACGAAATGTAAAGTATTGCCTAATTGGATTTAATGCACTTCAACTGAAAAAAGACTGACAATAATATTCTTGTATATAAACTTATTAATTGTCCCTTTCATTATATACTTAGCACAGGATGGAACTAAATATATACTGTAGTTTGTTGCCACACCATCCCCTGATTGGATGGATACTAGACATTAATATCTCAACCTAAATGTAATTTTGAGTAAGTTTTTTAAGTTTTAAGAGTCTTTTTAAAGGTTAAGAGCCTTAATGAGTTAAAGTTTCACAAGTGACAGTAAGGTTAATATACTTAAGGGTGCATGGGACATCCGAGAGGTGCCCAATCCTGAGACTCTATTGTGATAGAATTAGATGATTTCAATCATTCATGAAGTTATAAAACATGTCTTACGGACATAAGGGGTCATGCTACATATGCAAAGCTAACCTACAGAGATATTTGAATGGTATAATTGGTACGACCAAGCTAGAAAAAAGGAGGGAAATTTGCTCCCCTAAGAGATTTTCAAACCGTGCATCCCCCGTTTATAAAGTCAAAGGTGTTTACCCTGAGAAACAATTTCTTTACTAGAACCCCTTGTCCCCACCTAAGCATGTGCCGGTATTTTGTATATTGAAAATCCAAAGAGCACCTCTGCTTGCCTTGTAAGCTATGTTGTATGGGTATGAGTACAAATACTGGCATGGATAGGAAACACGGAAAATTTATAAAATGTAGGGTGTGGACACACGGCTATATAAATGAAATTAATAAGTTACATGAGACCAATTTTATTTTTTATCCACATGGTATGAGAATCAAAATACCTTTAATATTTTTATGTTTCTCTTATTATGTATATCATAAATTGGAAGATCACTCTTTTTTAACTAGATAGGAAAATACCCCTCTAAAATCATAGTCGTCAGCTAAGTATGCGCTGAAACAAACCCGATCCTTGTCCAAAAAGTTTCAAAAGGTAGATGTGAAGTGTGGAGCATAAAAGAAGTGTATGAACTATGAAGAGTGTTTTAAATTAAAACATGTGTTATACAATTTAGGATAAGTCTGAATAAATATATGCATATATTCAAGTAGTGTCCAAGGAGTATCGGTGTCCGGTACGAAAACGGAAAGTGTCGGGTGCAGGTATTGCTTCATGATAGAAGTGTACATGCAACATAACCTGTAAGACTTAGAATTAGCTTCAATAGCTAATTGGTTTAAAATTGTTTTCCTCAAATCACATTTATCTTAAGACTTCCCAAATCATCCGATAGTAATGTTTTTCTTCCTTTTGTATCAACTCTATTAAAAAACTTTGTGTATAATTAGTATTTGAACTCGGACAGTCCAATTGGTGAAATAGAGAAAGGCAGCTTGTAACACTAATAAAAACAACACAATTTACTACTTTTCCTGGGTGAAATTAACTTCTTCTAGTATAGCCACTTACTAACTGAAATTTCTAGGGGATTAAGTTTAACAGACCCAAAGAAATATCACCTTTCTATACAATGAAAACATCTAGTTTGAGAGATGGAGCAGACAAGTTCAGAAAAGTGCAACTTACTTGCTGTTCTGGCTGCATACATCTGACTAGCAGTTGAAGAAACATCATAGCCAAATATACCACCAGGTCTATAGTTACATACACCATTCTGGTACACCACTCCACGTTCTATTCTGGCAATATTCCTGGTGAATCTAGATACAGATTCTTGTGAGGCAGGCAAAGATGTCGAAGAACTATCATCTTTTTTTATCTTCGAGAATACTAACGTAATATGGCTCCACCCCGGAAGTTAATTCTCTCAATTTCTGTTCTAGAAGACTCAAAGCATCACCACTTATTGCATAGAGATCGCGAGAGTTTAGTTTCTTATCCTCTGCATCTTCCTCCTTCGTTTGGTTATGAGTATCAAAGCAATACATCTTCCTTTTATCCAAAATTTCCACGACCTGTCTGGAGCTATGTAGCACGGACACGGATCCGACACGGCCATCCGACACGCCGACACAAGGCAAATCCTAAAAAATACATAGGATACGTGTGTTCGACACGTGTGTCCGACACGGACACGACACGATACGGCTTCATGTTATGCGTGTCCGTGCTTCATAGGTCTGGAGAACCGTCTTTCTAACATGGTTTTATGAGGGGAAATGAATGTAAAGGATACTACATCTGCTCCATCACTTCTATTATCTTCTTTCCACCTTGACTGTGTACACTCATCTATTATAACATTTGGTTGAACATATTTCCGGTACCGACCACCACGACATTATCTGAAAACCCATTCCTCTCACAAATGAAGTCCCGTTCAATCAGTCTTTTCTTTTGCCGAAAATACTTCTTACTCAATGTTGATCCTTTCCTTTCAAGTCAGTGGCATATGCACATTCCTTCTTGTTCCCAAAGCTGGGTTTCCAGAAGACTTGTTTAAAGACCTATTCTGAGTAGAAGATGGGTCTGTTGTAAGAACTTTTCAGCCATGCTGACTAGAAACCTGTTGCTTTGAAGATAACTTACTCTTGCCCGACATGCAATTCTACTTCTGGTTATTTTGTCTGAGAACACCTGAAGAATTACTTGCTCATGACTTTTTCTGCTGCTTATTCTTTAGGTTGTTTTGTTGACTCTTGAACAGTTGGTTAAAAGTGCATTCATCATTCTGTTTCTTAGCTAGGGAGCTCCTAAGGGATGAGCTTAAAGCCCTCCCTTCTCTGAGCATTAACTTTAGTCTGAACTGTAAAAGACATGGATTCCTTCTTTTTCTTCGCATCAGCTAGATTGGGATCACTGAGATCTGGAGACCGTCTTGGTACTGCAGTATCTTCTGGTCCATTCCAACTCTTGTTCAAGGGTTTCCCTCTATTAAGATGCCTAAAATCCATTGAATCAACAGGGATTCTAACCGACTCTAGAGTCCTAGATGTTCTCCGGGACTCAGGAACCACCATATTCTCCTTTGAATCACGAACCCTCAAGGGAATAGACAAATGACGCAAATGAGGAAACTTTAACCATATCCAGGATCAAGAATCTTTGCAGCCGCCTCCATAATGTGTGCTGCATTTTTGGATGAGAAAACCCTAGAGTTTTTAATCGGTGACAACAGCTTGTGGTGACTAATGGGAGAGACCTAGCAGACCTTGGAGGTAAAGTTTCTGTCTGAAATCTCTCTATTGGACTGCTCAGCATCTTTTGAGCTCACAGCTCCATAGATCTCCTAGCATATCCATCAGCTCTGTCAACTACGTGATCGAACTGATCATTAATGTAAAATTCAGGACTATGGTTTTGCTGGTCGCATAGAGATTGCGTATCAAAGAATGGCGTGGAACTGAGTTCAGAGACAACCTGATGTAGGCACGGAATCCAATCCCATAAGACGGGCTACTACTCCCGGGGCCCTAATGGAGATTCCTTCTTCATCAGTCACCGATGATGCACAACTATAGTGACTACTCCCCTTCCCACTAGATACTCCTACAGCTCCGTCATCATCAACCTAGAAATTATAATAAGAACTATAAATATAAACATATGGCTACCCCTCAATACAACAAATTAAAAGGAGAAAATAGCATACCAAATGCAACAAGAGTTATACAACTTCACATTGAAGAAGAAAGTTAACCAGTGAAACTGATCCACTGAACAACAACTTCTTCGGGGATTTTTTTTGTTCCAATCAAACAGGGGAACAACTCTTAGCACCCCCTTTATCCACACCCATTCTTAATCTTCAATTACAGCTAAATTCCTCTAAACCATGTCAAAATTCATCTTTTTTCAGATACAATAAGTATTAGAACACCTTCACTAAATGCAAATAAGTTGAACAAAAAGACAAAACAATTTCACAGAAAGATGCAAACTTTATTAAACTATAACTCGATTGAGCAAAGCGCAAGCAATTCATCCAACAATTTAAGAACTCTTCGATACAATGGAATCCAAGGTTCACCTAAAAGATGTGACAAAATAAAACGCGCGATCAATCAAAATGTATGGAGAATCCATTGAAATGTTGAGAGAATGCACAAAGGTAAGAGGGAAAACAATCTCTTTACTACAAATCAATCCGCATCCCATTTAGCAAGAAACGGAAGCAGCCTCCAAAAACCCTAAATCTGGCCTAGGGTTTTGAACCTCCGTCAAGTGAAAAGAAGCATCCATCGAGATTCTCCGGCCGCCGCCCAAGCATTAGTGCTACGGTTAGGGTTTCAAGAAAGAGAAGACGAAGAAAACAATCAGGGGCTGTTTGGTTCCCTGTTTTTGAGGGAAAACAGTCTGTCAAAAGTGTCATTTTTTGGCAGGCTTTCAAGCAAAGTCCTCTTTTTTAGAGGCGTTTTTTATTAAAGCTTGCCAAAGAAATGACACTTTGGCAGGCTTTCAAGGGAATTTTTTTCAACCAAACAGCCCCTCAGTGAAGAAAACTATAGAGAGGTGCGTATTTGGAAAATTGATGGCGAAAAAGAAGAGACATTTTAATTTCCAAGTAGTTTGGTAGCCAGGTCGCTCTTTCATGATTTCCAGGTTAGAATGTTGAATATTGAGGGCCGTTTGGTTCATTCTGTTAAAAAAAGGAATAGGGTACTAAAATAGCTTGTGCACGTCTTTCTTTTAATTTTTTTATTATATAAATTAGAAGTTGATGGTATGCTTTATTACTTGTACTCTTGTGTTTAGTTCATTCCATAAAAAATAGGAGAGGAGCATACAGATGGATGAAATGTATTAGTAGGTGTCAGAGTTCTAATCTTAATTCCTATCAATTTGAGAGGATGGGGGTTTCCATAAAAAAAACTCATCTTTATCTACTTTATAGAATATACATTCTATAAAATAAAAGCGAACCAAACTTAAGAATAGGAATTGGATGAAATAACTTTTGAGAATACAGACACTATCATTCCCATTCCCTCCCCAATCTATTAAAAAAAACTAAACCAAACAGCCATTTATTGTGTTAGTATATATAAGGGGTTTGGGAAGGTTAATTTTATTGCACAAATTACGCTTTAAGTTGGTTTTTTCATGTGTACATGTTTGTTAAAACATTGAATAAGTTGCCTTTAAGTCCAATTTTGAAAAGTTACCCTAGCTTTCAAAAAACTAGCTTATAAGCTCGCCCAAATAAACTAGATTTAGCCAAACAAATTACTACTCTGCCCAAATAAGTTCTATATTTTTTTATCATAAGAGTTAAAAGCTACCAAAAGCTGACATAGCTTAAAAGCTTGTAAAAACAAGCTCCTCCAAAGTCCAAACACCTTAAAAGCTTCTTAAAATAAGCTCCTCCAAACACCTTCATAATCACACATGAACATGGTAGAATGTTGAATATTCTACATATTCTACAGTGCTTTTTTTGTTTGTTTCAAAAAAAGGGGCAACTTATTTGACCGATAACCATGAAAAGCACTTGCCCTTCTCATGAAGCTTCTCCATCTTTCTTATAGAGATTATATAATTTTGGAAAGTCTTTCCATGACCAAAAATGCATTTCCATGAGCGAAAATGCCTCTCCATGAGTTTCTCCATCTTTCTTATAAAGTGGTATGTTTTTATTTGTTAAAAAAAGAGGAAAAAAAGACTTGCCAAGAAATTATTTTGCATTAAATCCTCTGTTTGGTTTGGTAACCAAAAAATAGGAAACTTTAATTTAAGATTTGGATTTCCTCAAAATTTTCTTGTTTGGATGCAAGGAGATCATCATGGGAAACAAATGTGAGCTAACCATCGGCGACCTTATCACACATGGTTACCATGAAGTTAAGCATTAATATCCAACGGTAAAAAAAATAAGGGGCAACAACTATATGAGCAACAGTGACATGTGTCTAAAAATAAATTATTGTTGGCATTTGCCAATCACAAAAAAATAAAAATAAAAATAAAATAAAAAATAAAATAAAAAGGAAAAAGAAAAAAGAAATAAATTTTTTGCAAATATATTGTGTTCACCCTGTAGGCAATTCAACATGCTTACATCTCAAAATTTTGAAGTGCATTGCCATTGCAACATTCCAAGTCCACTGATGACCTGCAAGTACCGGAAGAACATGGAGAAACGTTTCTGGGGATGTGTTATGTATCCCAAAAGGAAATGCAATTTTTTTGCTTGGGAAAATGAAGAGGGTCTTTTAAGAATAGTCAATACCAATGAAGGGGGTCATACTATAGGAAATAAGAGAAGTAGAAGAAAATCAAACCGTGTTTTTCTATGTACACAATGAGAGGGTTTGCCTCATCATTTATGTGCATAAGCTCATATTAGAGTTAATACATCAATGATAGCTAGACTAATACACTCAAATTTCAGTGTGGGGTTGCTACATCAAGTGTATTAATAATCATCATTGCAACATATGACTGGCATAACATGTGTTATTGATGAAAAATCAACCACGACCCATAGATCAAAAAAATTTATGAAAATTGATCTTGGTTAAAAATATACAATCATCATAGAATAGTCAACAACCAAAAAACATGATAACCGAGAGTCAATCGAGAGATTTTCACCATCGAAATTACTAGGAGAATAACATACATTGAGGCTTTAGGATACATTCTCTTAACAATTTCATCTTTCATAGAATCCATCTATAATACTCGAGATTTAAGAAAAAATTATTATGTTAAAAAAGCCGATCGAATAGAAAAAAACTTACAAATCATTTAAACTCATACTTGTTAAGAATGACACTGCAAATCATTAACAGAAAGAACTTACACACACATATAATCTTATCAAATACAAATGAAACATATGCGCACAATTATTAAAAATGTACCAAAAAATTAAAAAGACAACAAATAATATACATGCAATTCCAAATAAGTATTAAATGTTCAAATTTTAAGCATTCAATCTCTTTTTGCCCCTACAAATTGATCAATGCAAGGCAAATATTACCCAAATAATAGCATCTAGCACGATACTAGAGATGCATGCTAATTTTTTTTTTCTAAAAATTCATTTTTTAAACTTAAATTTTACTACTTAAGCAGTTGTTTAACATTAAGATTGACAACAAAAAGATGAAAAAATACGTAAAAAAAAGTGGGAGATACCAGAATTATACCTTCCACCTGCTTGATTAATCCTCCCCTTGAGCAAAATACGAAAGGTCTACAGAAAATTAGATGTATCCCGGAGATCGAGCACAAAGGAAACCAAAGACCAGAAGATCCCTTCAAAACGAACCAACAAATCACAATAAATCTAGGGCTTCGAGCAAAAACCTAAAAACCATTCGTTTCTTCCACAATCAATTTGAGAAAATAAGCAAGAAATAAGCTAGGGCTTGGAGCTTTTACAATAAAGGATTTGAGGCGGGAAAGAAAGAAGAAAGGGTTGGTAATGTATTGGTATTTCAAACCAAAAAGTAATAAATATCAATAAATCGATAACATCTTAGTTAAGCCTATATACAACGTAAACAATGGTTGGTAATGCAAACAATATCAATTGGGCCTATATACAATGTAGATAGTGGCTGATGTATTTATAAAGCAAGTCATGCAAAAGCCAAAATTTGCTTTCTGAATGAGGATTATATTAAGCAGCAACTAGTAGTATGAAAGGGTCTCATACAATTCAAAGAAAGAATTCGTGAAATTCCCTCAAGTATTTAAGACGTCTCAAGACACCGTAAAATTAAGGGTTTTCCATCAAAAATCCTAATTTCGCCGTGTTACCCAAAATCTCCTAAATTTGGTGGGATGCATTGAAGCTCGCTGCGGTGGGCATTTTGGTGGGGTTGTGAGCTAGCTAGTGGGTCTTGATTGATGGGTGACGGGAACATTGTGGTGGGTGAAAGGGCTGAGTTTGGTGGGGGGAGTTTGTGGGCTACGAGCGAGGTTGATTGCTGATTAAGGAATGGAGGCGATACTAGTTGGGGAGCTGATCTGATCGTGGAGAAGAAGTTTGATGGAAGGTCTTTGTTGATTGATGAGAAAAAAATGGAGGAAACGAGAAGTTTGCTGGCGGCTGAAGAAGAAAGAGGGAAGGAGAGAGGGCAAGTCTAAGGGCCCGTTTGGTTGGTTTCCTAAAAATCAAGAAAAGGAAATCGGTACAAGGAAATCAATAAAATAATATTTTTACCATTTCCATTTCTAAAACTCACCCACAACATCTAATAAAATATTATTTTTATCTTCCAACTCATCTCATTTCATCTCCTTTCTTACATTTAAAAATAAACCAAACACAAGAAATGTGTCACATCATTCAACTCATCACAACTCATCTTATCCCATTTTTAAAAATCACACACATCATCCAATAATATTGTGACAACTCATCTCATTTCATTAAACATTCCTTTCCATCCATTTCCTCAAAAAAAACAAGAAATTGGTTTCATTAAGTATGTGTCACATCATCCAATAATATACCTCCAACTCATCTCATCTCATCTATTTTACTATTTTTAAAAACGAACCAAACACAAACAACCTCAAAACATCATCCAATAATATACCTCCAATTCATTTCCTTATTTTTTTAACCAACCAAACAACCTCAAAACAAATTTTTTTTTAAAATCACTCACATCATCCAATAATAAGTTGACAACTCATCTCATCTTATCTCATATTCTACAATTTCTTTCTTTTTTAAACCAACCAAACAACCTCAAAACAAATATTATAGGAAATAGGTTTCCTATTCTTTGATTTCCCAAAAAAATGGCCAAACGAACAGCCCCTAAACTAGATTCAGTTTGTTACTTGTTTATTATTATTAGTTTTACAACAGTTCAGCTTTTCTGCACATTTCGAAAGTTTTTAGGGGTATTTGTTTTTCTGGGGACAAGTCAGCTTAACGTGTGCCACCCCATATTTTTTATGTGCATGCAAAGGGTGTGGTTTGGAGAAATCTGACAATAAACCCAATGTGGCAACTCTCCCCCGCCCCCCTTAGCCACGCAAAAAGCACAACCAAACAGCCTCTAATAAATTTTTTTAAGAAATCTGAACAATCTTTGAGTGTCAGGTAGGCTTCAATTTTTTTTGGGCTCTTCAGGCCCAACCAAACAGGCCCTAAAGTACAGTACCTTTCATAATCAAGAAACAATTATTATAATTTATTATCACCAATAAAACTCTTATAAATTTAAGTGGATAGAAGTTTTTTGTTAACTATTTTTTTTATCCATTGATTTTACATTGAGATTTGTGCTAGCATATAGTACAAATAAAGTCACAAATCTTAAAAATATCCTTGATGTGAAGCACAAATCTCAAAGCATAATCAAAAGATAAAAAGTTTAATGGACAAGTGCTCATATCCATTTAAGTTTAATAAGAACTTTGTTCTTATCGTTTTTTTAGTGTGGAAAATTAATTATAAAATTCAAACATCCCTCCACCAATTAAAACAGTGACTTGTCCTATTATTTATTTATGTGATGCGAAATCTGGCTTGTTCTATTTTGTGTTTTTTAATTCAGATGTTACCAGCTGTTCACATCTCAGAATACCAGCTGTTCACATCTCAGAATGAAGCTGATAGAGTCCAGACTCTAGAAGCACAATGGATCCTGGGTTAATACCAATTTTAAAAATAGACCCTTTTTAAATATTTATTTATAATTTTCAACTTAGTCTTAACTTAATTAGCAATTTCGATCTAGGTTTATAAAACTAGGTCGAAATTGGTGAATAAAAGTTTACGGGATTGACAATCTCGTAAAGTTTAAATATAGAAAACTTCATGAGATTGACAATCCCATGAAGATTTAGTTAGCAATTTTGATATAGTTTCATGAAACTAGGTCGAAAGTTGTAAACAAATGTTTAAAAGGGTCGATTTTAAAAAAAAAATTGTCCTCCTAGATTAACGCAAACAGTGGTTGCAATAGCTACTTGGCATCAAGGCTTAATTGCACTTAAATACCTATAGTTTCCTTTACTTTGCACTTATATTTCCACACTTGTTTTTTAACAGCACTTACATTTTCTAAAAGTTTTAGAACTCGTACTCATATACTCTCACATTTTTTAAGCAGGACTTATATAAAGTTTCTAGAATTTGCAAAACTTGCAATTAGGGTCAGACGGTTAATTTTAGAGCAAACAGTAACTCTAGAATTATTACGCAAACATCAATATAATGGATCAGGGCCGGTCCTGAGCATTCGGGGGCCCTAGGCAAAAACTTGAACAAAAATCTTAAAGGGGCCCTCCTATATTCATAATTTCATATATGTTATGCATAGATTCATACTTTGTTTATACAACTAATTCATGTATGTTAATAATGTTATGCACAGATTCTTGCTGTATAGAATCAATAACAAAGCAAAAGTATTATTAGGTCATGAAGTGATGAAACAAAGATATCATGCTATTCTAAGTTACTAAGTATAGTCTGTTATCTGTATAGAATTATAGAAATATTCAATTATTCAAATATACTTATATACCTTGTAACCTTGACGTAGTCGCCGGCCAGAGGAGGCGCAGATAGCGGACTGCGGACGGTCCGGACGGAGTCGGGAAGAAGAAACGTCACTTCAGAGAGAGTCAGAGAAGAAGAAGAGAGGTCGGCGATCAGACGGCCACTTCGGAAATCAGAGAGACCAAGGGTTTTTCGTTTTTGTATTTATAGCCTCTAACACTTTTGCATAAAAATCCTCTTACTTTTCCAATTTCCATATGTATATATATAAAATTACATAGGGGGCCCCTGTTTTTTGGGGGCCCTAGGCGCAGGCCTCTCCCGCCTGCCCCTAGGGCCGGCCCTGATGTTAGCTATTTTTTTGCAAAACAGAACGTGGAAGGAAAAATAGAAGAGAGAAATGATGTTTCACCTTTATTGGGGATAATTTTAGGAATTCTATTTCTTAGTGTTATTCATTGGGACAATGGAATAAGGATATTACCTTTTTGTGTTATTGGTTTTTTGTAACACTAATGAGACAATTTCACCACTTGGGATAAAATTACCCCATTCGTATACAAAAATTTTATCCCAATAGTAAAAAATTTACCTCATTCTCCATATTAGAATAATTTTGTTCCACTTTAAAGGTAATTGAGATAGTTTTTAAACCTTTTTGTATTACTTAACTAATACATGTTAATTATATTATAAATATATGACATGATATATAAAATATAAAGTAATAATATATTATATTATATTATCAAGTAATAAAATAAAATATTATTATAGTTTAATTTATATGTATAATTTATTTTATGATATTTATTATATATATTATGCAATATCATATACTATATTATATAATAGTACAACATATTTATTATAATATTATATAATATTTAATAGCATATATTATTATATAATCTATTATATTAATTGTAGTTGATATTTTATTGTAGAAATTATATTATAGTGTATTATATTAAACCAATATAATAATATAGTATAATATAATATAACATATTAAAGTTAATAAATATGTTAGTATATTATATTTAATTAGAAAATATAGTATAATATAAATCATGTTATGTGATTATATTATATTAATTTAATAAATATATTATTGTACTATAATATAATAAAATTTTGATATTTTTATATATCATAGTAATTATCATATAATATTATACTATATTTTAATTACGATATAGTATTTTAAATGATAATATATTGAATAAAAAATATTATAATATTAGGGAAAATGCTTCAAGCCCCTAAAATGAGTCAGAACGTGCGTCCCACCCCCCAGGACTTTTTCAAACGAGTGTTCTACCCCTAAAAACTTGCCCGATTTTCCTCTAGCCCCTAAAACACCCCCCTCGTGACATGCTGTCTAAAACCAACATAAATCTTCTCAAAATACCATTTGTTTCTCTTTTTTTTTTGTGCTGAGGAGAGAGCTCGCAAGGCCAGCGGAGGAGGTGGGAGAATCCATTTCCGCCCTTAGCAGCGGTGGCGGAGTAGGTGGCGGGGGGCGGGG